TGAAACAATCACCCCGAGCTTGGTTTGGTAAATTCAGCCACATTATGCAGATTTTTGGATTGGAACAAGATGAGGCAAATTATTCTGTGTTTTATTGTCATTATGCTGGAAAGTGTGTTTATTTAATGTTTTATGTTGATGATATAGTTATTATAGGAAATAATGCTACTAGAATTTCTTAACTAAAAGAGCAATTATTCAGCCATTTTTAGACTAAAGACCTTGGTAGTCTAAAATACTTTTTTAGTATTGAAGTGGTCCAATCAAAGGAAGGTCTTGTAATTTCACAAAGGAAATATGCTCTTGATATTTTGAAGGAAACAGGTTTGGAAAATTGCAGGTCAATTGATAGTCCTAAGGATCTGTTAGTCAAGTAGGCTTTTAGGGGGGGGGGGGGGGGGGGGTGAATTAAGTTAACCAATTTTTAATCTTTGATGAGTTTTTGAAATGCTTTCTTATAAATTCAATTTCTTAGACAATTTGTATGTAAAGTTTAATGATGAAAAACTACTCAAACACAATTTAAACAAGTAATTTAAAAGTATAAGGAAAGAAAAATTGCAAACTTGTTTATACTGGTTCGACCAATCTTGCCTATGTCCAGTCCTCAAGTCTCCAACTTGAGATTTTCACTATTCTTGTAGATCTTACAAGACTTGAATCCTCCAACACCTTGGAATACCCTATCCTTGTGTTGAGATTCAAAAACCAACAAGGAGAAAAACTCTTTCTCCTTTACATATCAAATGATCAAGTGAATATAACAAAGTAACTCTCTTTGAAGAGTAGATATTACACTTTGAATATCTTAATGAACTCTTTAGAGAATAATGTAAATGACTTTGGCCATGAAGTTTTGTAAATATCTTTTTACACAATAGAGTTCGTAACCTTTCTAAAAGAATTATAGGTATTTATAAACAAGTATCCCTATGGTTGGGTCTTCTCATGAAAAGTTGTAATCCTTTATAATTTTCAGAAAACATACACTAGTAATCGATTACAAAGAATTGGTAATCGATTATAATGGTTTTAAATTCAAAAACAATTTGAAACGTTGTATCTTTAAATTCAAATTTGAAGTTCCCTCTTCTGGTAATCGATTACAAGGGTTTGTAATCGATTACCAGAACACATTTTAGCATTTGAACTTTGAACCAAGAAGTTTTCTTCTTTTGGTAATCGATTACTTAGACTGGTAATCGATTACTAGACAGATGTTACAAATTTTGCTTTTGAAAACTTATGATATTAGTAGCTTTTACTTTCCAGTCAAAATTATTTTTGTATAATCTTTTTGAACACATTTCTTTTTTACTTTCTTTTTCAAAAAATTTTCTTATATTCAAAAAGACTAAATTTAGGTTTTCTTGAAATCTTTATTTTAATGGCCAAGTTAACTGCAATTTTCTAAAGCTTCCTTTTTACATATTTAGCTAAGTTGACAAGACTTATCTAGTTGAATCTTGAGATCTTGTTTCTTGATCAACTTGCTTTTAACTTGACCTTTAATTTTCTTCAATGCTTTGACATCATCAAAATTTTGTGCATATATTCTTCCACAGGATCCAAATCAGAAGTTAATGATGGACCAAGGTGGAATTTTTCCACATCTAGAGAGATACAAGTGGATGGTGGGAAAAGTCATTTATCTTAATATTACAAGATCTGATATTTTATTTGTAGTTAGAGTTGTTAGCCAATTCATGAAAAATCCTCACATTGACCATTGGAATGTGATTCACATTCTCAGATATATTAAAAGGGCTATAGGATAAGGATTGTTGTAGAATGACAAGGGAAATACTCAAGTTTTAGGATATTGTGATGCAGATTAAGCTGGTTGTCTCATAGATAGGAGATCCACCACAAAACATTCTGTATTCATTAGAGGGAATATTATTTCTTGGAAAAGCAAGAAACAAAATGTTGTTACCCTGGTCTATTGCGGAGGCTGAATATAGATCTATGACTCTAGCTACTTGTGAACTTGTGTGAATTAAACAACTTTTTTAAGAGTTAAAATTTTGTGAAGTTAAGCAAATGAAGTTATATTGTAATAATTAGGCAGCCCTTCATATTGCTTCCAATATGGTTTTTCATGAGAGAACCAAACACATAGAGATTGATTATCATTTCATTTGGGAGAAACTCTTGTTCAATGAACTTATCACTGAGTTTATCAGCTCTAATGACTAATTTGCAGACATTTTAACTAAGTCTTTAAGAGGACCTAGGATTCAATTTATATGTTCCAAGCTTGGTGCATACAATTTATATGTTGCAACTTTAAGGGGATTGTTAAAACAATTATTATATGTTATATAGCTTTACAAAAGCTACTTTTTGGCCTTATCTGACTGAAAGGGTTTAGATCCTAGGCTGGAACTTATTTTTGACTTGTGTACCTATTTTGATCATATATATATATATATATATATATATATATATATATATATATATACAAATATAGATTTCTCAATTTTAAAATTA